AACGCTGCGGGAGGACACGCTGGTACACAAGGCAGGGAGCATGGGAATGCAGCTGTGCCAGACAACAGGGTGGAAGGAGCTCGGCCTCTTCCCAGTCACCCACCTGGCAAGCACAGCCCTGTCCCTGTCCATCTCACCCTGCCTTGGAGAGGGGACGCCCTGCCCCGCTGCAGTCGTGGTCCAGGGGGTGCCGGTGCTTGAGGCAGTAGTTCTTGTGGCACTGGTCACAGATCACCTTCATCATCTCCTTCTGCTTGCAGCCAGGCTTCAAGCACTTATTGGTGAATATCTGGAAAACGACACGGCCGTGGGGAAGAAGAACACGCCTGGCAGGCCTGGGGCTGCCCCTTCCCTCTACGCCAGGCCCTGGGCACCAACCAGCTTCCTCACCCAGCACCACTTCCGTGGGGCTCTGGAGTTTGTCTCTGAATACTAGTTTTCTCTAGACAGTTTATTAGTAATGCACTAGTCTCCGTAAGCAAAGGTCTGCATAATCACAGAGCAGGAGAAACTTCCTCACCCAGGGACTCCTGCCCTCCATCTCCTGCTGGGCTGGATTCCTGCAGCTCCCTGCAGCAATTCCCTCTCCTGGCAAGAATGGGCAGCTAATTGCTGTTTGCATTTTCCTAACAGCAGCACGCAATTCCCACCCTTACCCTGCCTTTCCTCGTGTCCTGGCCCCACTTCAGCGCTATCTCGGCCGCAGGCGCGCACCACAAATCCCTACGGATGCCTACGCCTCCGGCCCCCCAACCCTTCCCGCCCTCGGCCTGCGCAAGCAGAGAGGGCACAGGGCAGAGCCCGTGGGCTGTTGTCATCCCGCTCCCAGGCTTCGGCATGGACCCAGCGGAGCTCAGCGGCGAGCACCGGGTTCCTACCTTGCGCTTGCGCTGCGCGGGGTCGGATCTGCAGTCACGGTCGATGTGCTCACCCACCACGACGTCGGGCATCTCCCCCCGCCTCACTGGGACCGGGGTGTTGCAGAGGGGGCACACGGGGACCTGCACGTCCTGCGGAGACAAGGAAAGGGGACTGGGAGCACAGAGCTGGGCGACCTCAAGTGCTGTGTGGCCACTTCTCGCCCTGCCGGGATCTGCCTGCCGGAGTCACCTGCCATTTGAGATCCCGCTCACCACCCTCCAGAGAGCTCGCTGTTCCTGACCCAGCCGCTGCGACAGGGAAGGCAGCAGGGCTGGGAGATGCCCAAATCGTTTCGCCCAGCGGCAGAGGGTGGGCTGGAAGTTTGTGGCACCGAGACACAGATCCCGGTTTCGGGGACACCTCCAGAGGCGGCGAGCATCCCAAGACTGCCCCAAGGACCACGGAAGTCACCAGCTGTGCTGATGGCCGGCTGGGAACGCCCCGCAGCGCCCTGCACCAGAGCGGATTAGCCCTCCTCTCGGCACTCACCTTCTTGTAGGCCGAGGTGCAGCCGTGCTGGGCGTAAGCGATGTGGTCGGTGCAGAAGATCTGCTCGCAGGCGTCACATTTCAGGGGGAGGAAATCTGGGAGCGGAAAAATGGAGTGGGACGAGGTCAGCGCTGCTCGGGGTCGGGGGGACACCCCTCCCTCGCTTCCCGAAGGCACATCCCTGACTCCTCTCTTGCCCCAGCTGGGAAACAAAGGGGCTGCAGGTCCATCGCTACGTCTTCCCAAACACCCAGGGCTC